CCTGCTAAACTTCAAAAATGTTGCTAATAATCATAACAGAATTACAGAAACATCTTCAGTGGTCGAGAATCTTTTTTGCACAGTAACCTTAATGGACAGTATGTACCCTGCACAAACTCTACAAAATGCATGCTTTATCTATTAAGCATGAAATTTAGGTGTTTGCTGAGGTCCTTGCATCTTTATGGTGCTAGTAATGTGTGAAAGGTGCAAGGACCAACTCAACAACTTAATCTCCTTTGCCTGAGAAACCACAAGCCTGCTATTCACAAACATTTGGAGAAGAGGCTATACCACACGTGGTTTGTCTTACTTAATGCAAGCTACTGGCTTTTGTCTTTTGCAAGATTTTTGGCTTTTACCATGGAGCAAGAATCTCAAATGTACTGAATTCAGATAATCAGTATTCTGTTGGCTGGTATCTATCCTCTGTAATTTATTACAAAGTCATAGTTTAGAGTTCTTAATAGATAAGTATGCATGTCCCTTCTCCTGATGTTGCAGGTCATGCCAACACAACAGCTGTAACTTTCTACTGAAGTGTTAATGTATAATAAGAATGGAAAATATTTATTTTTTTTCTCTTGTAAATTGACAATGAGAACAATAGTATGTACTATATTCTTTATATACAGTCATTGCTACATATAGAACCGATTGTACAAAGAGTAAAGCCATTGCAAATAAGTGCTTGAGCCTGCACTGCTGAGCAGTTTGAAACAGCTTGTTTTGACTTGTGCATTTTAGTATTTAAATTTTGTTTGTCCTGCACAAACAGCACAATAGTGACTAGGTACCTGGAAGCCTTCTTTTATTAAAAAAAACCCCAAACAAACAAAAATGCAAAACAACCCTAAACCAAACCTGGAAGTGTGTGAGCTGTGTTTTTGATAAGGGGAGGGGGCACTGCACCAGAATCTTGGAACCTGTGGCTGTTATTTGATACATTCCTCACCCATGTGATGAAATCTTAAATTTTTTTCTTAATTTTTTTCCTCATTTGTGTACCCTGTGGCATCCTCTTGACAGGTCTTGAGGGCTTTGCCAACTCTTAGCAGAGTTTGTGTCACTGCTTGTGAAAGCACATCCACAGAGATGTTGAGTGTGACGTCTGTTCTGTGCGAACGGGGTTTAAAAGCTGTGCTGTGTGAAGCACTCTCTCAGACTAATCCCAGTGGGATGCTCAGGAGGGTTTAGGCACCCTTAAAATATTTTTTCACAGTGCTCAGGGAAAAGCACTTGCCTGCTGTGTTTGAGGGGAGTGGGGTGGGAATAAATCCACCCACTGTGATGATTTTACAGGACAGTTTTGAGCAGTGTGGGTGCCAGTGTTTTCTTGTTGACTCCCTTTTTTCTGAGTAAGTTGTGTCAGCAACTTCCTCCAAACCTGAGGAGCTTCAGCAGCTCTCCTGCTGTGCCAGTTCTTGGAGCTGAGCTCACAGCTTGGCCACGCTGAGGAGCTGTTCTGCCACAGTCACTGGCATTGCAGATAGAGGGAACCAAAGAGCAGGAATTTGGGATCTGGCAGGGAGAGTGCTTGTTGGAGACCAGAATGGTCCAGAGCAGAGATGGCTTTGCCCCAGCCAAGGGACCACTACAGAATTTTAATCCAGAGAAGTGTGAGCTGTAGTAGGGGAGACAGAATTCCTCTCTTGCTTTTTGAACATTTCATTTTGGCCCACCCAAAGGCTGGGCTGGTTGCTGAATGACATTCCCACTGTATGCCATAACCAACCTGGGTAATGAGTGTGGACTGCTCCAGTTCCAGCAGTCATGGGCTCCCGGTGCAGCAACCAGCCAGCAGCACACCAGCTCTGCTGCCCTGGAAGACATCTGGGATGGACAGAACTTGATCATGGACTGAATGAACTCTGCAGACACCTTGGAGGGACAGCCATTGACTATGGAAATGATGTCTGTACTTATGTGTGTGTACATATATGCATACATATGTATGTAGCTGGACAATGTGGGAACTGGGCATGACAGAGCTGGTCTGTTATGATATGCAGTGGCAGTTTCCACCTAGGAAGTTTGGATGATATCTCCAAAATTTCTCCAAATAACTGGGCCTTCACATATTTCAGTCACGTAGATCTTGTACCTTAACTGTAAGCATGCAGCAAAAGTCTTGGTCACAGCAGCTACCAGCTGAGGAAACTCTTGCTGGCTCCACATTTGTCTCACACCCCTGGAATTGCACCCCACATCCTGGAGTTTTGCACTTTCCCTCTCAGCTACATCCATTGTATCAATCTCCAGAGCCCAGTGTCAAAGCTTTAAACAGCCAGCAACTGCTCCCATACAGTTCTTTTAAAAAAAAGCCAGCCCTGCCCTTCCTCATCCTCTTGCAGCCTCTAAACTGCACCACACACAGGTCTTTGCTCTTTCTTTTCACTGTGTGCCCTCAGATTTTTTCACAGAATCTATGTCCAAAATTTAAAAAACTCCAGCAGCTGGTCTCACAGAGAAGATCCTTGTGAAAAACGAGATTCACTTTCTTAATAAATTATAAAAAGTTTAATATAAACAAAAAGACAATTCGGAGAAAAAGAAAATAAAGCAAAGGGTTAAAATGGCCAGGTGCCCTGGTGTGTTGCCAGGTCCACACCTGATATCTTTGGAACATTCTTTTTATCCCCTCCTGCTGTGAGGGTTTAATGCATATTCAAACTTTTCTAAGAAGCATTTTGCATGGTTATGCCCTGAACCCACCTTTTCAGAGCATGCTTTGTATGGTTTTTATTTTTGCTGATCATCATTTTATTTGAATTTGATTTCCTTTCTTTGCAAGCGGTCAGTGCTGATAACAGTCTGGGCCCCTCGTCCTGCCACTGGTGACAGCTGGGCTTCATGTCAACAGCCTGGTCCTGGCTGCTGATAACAGCCTGGTCTCCACTGTCCTGCTGATAACAGCTTGGGCCCCACTGTCTTTGCCCTCTGGGGTTTCTGTGCTTTGTACTGAGGGACACCACAAAATTCCTTTACACTTGTTAGCAAGAGAAAAAGTACATACCTAGCCAAAAAGTATTTAACATATAATATTCATCCTAATACTTGCAAAAGCCAATATCAGAATATGGATTTATGACATCCTGGAAGAGAGCCAGTGCTGGGCTATAGCTTTCTTTTGTAACCTATAAATCCCTTCTTCAGGATCCAAGCCTGAAGCTCTCCACTAACTGCTCCCACTAAAGGTGCCAGGACAAAATTTGTCATTTTTGTTGGCTTTTACCTTCCCACTGTTGCCATTCAGAACTCCACCCCGTATCCCTGTGTACTTCCTAGACAATAAAATGTACTGTGACATTGCCTCAGAAACTCAAAAGGGCAGACCTGAAGTCAAAAGTGTCCAGACCTTACTGGCAAAATGTGCCAGGACAAAAAGAAATATGTTTATTTTGGAAGCCAAATGGCTCTCCCCAGTGTTCCTGGTGCAGGTAAGAGGTTCCCCAGGGGAAGTGAAGGCCAGCACCTGCTTTCTTTCATGGCACTTCCTGTGTGGGAGCAATCCACTCCCAGGAGCCCTGCACCAGAACGTGGTGCTGCCTCCAGTGTTGAATACATCCACCAGGGACTGCTCTAGCACAGAAGTTCTCTCGAAAGAGCTGCTGCTGGTTTGTACTTCCCTGGGGCAGCATCTCCTGCACCACCAACAATGGGGTGAGGTGCTTTCCATAGCAAATAAAGGCATCCTCATCCTCTTTCTGGAGCTCACCTCCAGTATTGGGGTACCAACTCCAAAACCGTGTATGTCCAGGGATCTCTTTCAGAGAAACCTTTCCAGGACAGAAAGCTCTTAGTGGTTTATACCTCCCTAGGGAGCCTTGTCATCCTTTCCTTTCAGGTGGCCAGCACCTGACAAGGACAAAGATGAATAAATGACTGCTTTATTTAAATTGACAGTGATAAGATGAACATGTAAAAAGATAAAAATGCAAAATGGCAAAACGACAATCTGATTAGAATTATTTACTACACAATAAAGTTGCTAATACAGTGCTCTATTTATTGCACCAATAATACAGCTAGCTTAATAACTATCAAATAGAGATTGATGTTACTCACCCATGTCACTGACCATGGGCAAGTGTCTCACTCAGCTTCCAGAGGTGTCCCTGAGGGGTGTTTCCACCCAAGGGATGGATCTTCATGCATCTAAAAAAAATATGATGAGAAAACCGGGACTGATCTTTTGTAGTACAAAGAGGTTGATTGTCCTGCATCTTACAGATTCTGTGCTGTTCTCAGCAGAACATGTTTGAGTCAGGTGTTACCAGCACTTTGGTTTCTGCTCATAACTTTGGTCTCTCACTTCCCTAGCAGGCTCTTCCACATCCCTGTTGATGCCACTTCAGTTGGGAGGAGCACCCTCATGAGGGACCTAATTTAAGAGAGTTTGGTCAAGCTGGTCTCGGCATTCTGCACCACTGTGTCCTACTAAACCCCCTGGTTTTTAATCTATCACCAAAGATTTATAAATAAGACAAAGAAGGGGCTTTTTACAGCTCTCCTAGCCTTTCCAAATGGAACAGCACCAGTGTTCCTGTCCCTCATAATGCAGTTGCTTGTTCTTCACACCAGTCCTGTTGTCCCAGGAACGGGAGAGCTTCATCTCTGTCCCTTAGAGAGACAGTGAGTCCCCTCTGGAGCTGTGTCTCCAGCTCCAATGCCTGCATTCCCACTGCTTCCAGCTCTCTCTCTCTCTTTGCTGACTGGTTTCTAGGTCTGCCTCCTATCCAAGTTTTCATCCATTATGTGTCACCTTAGGGCAAATGGAATCTCACTAGAGAAGTGGGAAATCGGGTGGACGCAGCAAAAGCGCTCTCCCACCTTTGAGGAAGTCATGAAGGTCAGCACAGACTTTGCATTTAAGTGAGAAAAGGCCTTCAAGAAAAGAAGATGGCATCTATCTACTTAGATGTTCTTGCTTCAACAGTCTGGAAATTATTGAGCCCAAGGTCTGGGTAAGAAGCATCCATCCCACCCCTTAAGTAACCCTGCCCCTCACTTAATCTGCTTATTAAAAGCATTTGCCCAATTTTTCTGATGTTGCAGCCCCCTCCACTCATCTGCTTCACTGCTTTCTCCAAGGGACTTCCTTTCTCAAAGAAAGTAATTTCTTTGCACTTTTTGGCCTCAGCTTCTGGAGTTCTGTGTTTTTTGCTGTGCGCCCAAGTGTTTTAAGAAGGAGTAAATATTCCATATGAAGGAAAAGGGGAATTACATGCTCCCATGGGCTTCAGGCAAAAAAGAAAAATTTAAAAAGTGCAACTGCTTGGGAAGTCTCATCATTTTAGGTCATTTGTGTTACCTTGGCATTTCCAGTCTCCTCCTGCGATGGTGGAGGTGTTTTGCCCTGCGCTTTGATTGCCCTCACCCCTGGATGTCTGTGGGACGGTTCCAGGCCCCACTGTCACCCACCTCCTGTCCTCTGCTGTCACCGCCTGGGTGTGCGGTGGCCACGCTGGCTCACTGGGCCAATAAAAGCGAGGCTGTCCAGGTGGATGGGCACAGGTGTCCCCTGCTGTCCTCAGCTGTCACCCCGCTGCCACTCGGCCCCGTCCAGGGACCCGCCTGGCACGCTCAGCCCGTGCGGGGACAGCCGGACTCTGCCCCGGGGCTGCCCCTGCATCTCCCGAACACCTCCCATGTGACTCCGGGAAAGAGGCTTTGGCCACACCTGTGCTACTCACAGCTGTCTTCGTCTGTCAGCAGGAAGCAGGGAGGAAAGAAACCAGGGCAGGAAGGAGAGAAAAGGAGGAAGAAAAGAGAGCAGGAAGGGGAGGACAGGAGGAAGAGAGAGAGAGGGAGAGGTAACGAGGCTGCATTCAGCAGTGAGGAGCAGAGTGGCCGATATCGCCCTGCCAGAAGCTTCCAATGTCCTCCTCAACCTCCACCAGCGCTTTGCCCAGCGGCCTGGCGGTGCTGACGACCTTCCCAGATGTGCTCTTCATCCCTGAAATCGTGAGTGCTGACTTTTCCCTGGGGAAGGGCTGTGGCTGCTGGGTGGGCATTCAGCACGGGTTATGCTGCAGGTGTCCGGGGGTGACACTTGTCCCCAAATACGTGGCTCAGGACCAGCGCCAGACCAGAGCCACAGGGGCTGGGGGCAGCTCACCCTGGGAGAAAACCACAGGGCGTGAGGCTGTGAAGCTCTCCTTTAGTCTTAAAATCCTTTACATTTGTCTGGTGCCTTTGAAAAACTTTGTAATGTCCTGCCTGAGAAAACGGCAGGGGTTGCCGGTGGGTTTAAAGTAGGTTGCCGAATTGGGCCGGTTAATTAACCGGAAAGGTGATTTTAGCGGATGGTACAGGCAGAGGATGGCTGCTCGCTTGGAGCGGGGGCTTTGGGACGAGCTGAGGAAATTGTTTGCATCAGCAAAGAACCCAGCCAGCCGAGGTTGCACTGCTCCTTGGCAGCATTCCCGAGCTGCAGGTGTGGAGCTGCTGGACCTGGGCGTCTGGGGGAGCAAAGGGTGAGCAAACACCTTGTAACTTCATTCCACATTGTAACTTCATTGAGCAGAGTGAGATCATAATCTCAATGGTTTTGGCAATGTGGTTAAAAGCATTTACTCTGAGCACAGGTTATAAAACAAAATGTCTCAACTTGAACTTTTTCCCTGTGTCCTCTGCCCCACACAGTGGAGGAGCTTGGGAGGCTTTTTTCCAAATTCTGAGTGCCTTGGTCCAGCACTGAAAGCTCTGGCTGATTATTGTAGCATGACATTCTGATAATTCCATGCTAAAAACTTTAGCTTTGTCATCTGGCACCAAAACCTTTCCTGTCCCCCAGCTTGGTCCACACTCCTGGGATTGGCAGCATTTCCTGGTGATAAAAATGTAGCAAAGAGGATATAGAGAAAGGCTTTGCTTCAGCCTCCCCAGTTGTGCTCTCCTGACAGCAAGGTCCAGGTTTCCTGCAGGTGCATGAAGGAGGATGTCAAGTCCCTGTGGCAGACACCTGCCAGCCACCCCTGCCACTGAGTTGTGTTAGTCCTGGGGCTGAGCCTGCTGCTGGCCTCAGCAACCTTATTCCCCTTGAATTGTTTGTTTGTAATCCCTGTCTCCAGGGGATTTGGTAGGGCAGCTGGCTGAAATGAGCACCCTATCCTTTGGTTTGGGTAAGACCTGGAAATATGCATCCTGAAGGCCTAAGAAACACCCAGGAAGGAGGAATGCTGCGTGACTGGATTTCTTCTCCAGGAAGACTCTGGGCTGTGCAGCTGTGTGACCTCTGCCGTGTACAAACGAGGTGGCTGCCTCGAAACACAGCATTCAGAGGGTTAAAGAGTTTCTCATTCCTTAGTGGAATCTCAGGTTGCCTGCCACGGGCCAAGAGGGTAACAAAACAAAACAAAATTGGCATTTCAAATGGTAAGAGAGTTGTGAAATTTTCAGAAGATCCTACCTGCAGCTCAGATGATTGCCACATTTGCATGGGCTGATTAAGAGCCACCATTTCTAACCTGTGAGGCTCAGTTTAGTTCTTGTAATCTATTTAATTTGGAGAACTTTCTGCACATATGGGTGCCCAGACCTATGTGGAAAAGCTGAAATGAGCTGAAAGCAGGTATGTTTGCTTTGTAAAAGCTATTTAAAAGATGAATTTTTTTCTTAGACTTCTGTCCACATCCTGCTGTGAGTTATTGAAAGCCTCTCAATCCTTCCTTCCTTTTTATGAGTCTTCACCATAAAATCAAAGTCAATAATCAAACGTCAAACAGACTTTTCTGAGTGAGTAACCACAGTCTGCAGGAAGGGGAGATGGTGAGTGGTAGGAAGTGAGCTGTGGTATTTCTTTCCCCAGCCTCATATCTCACCATAATTGGTGCTTGATTTTGGAGCAGCCATTACGTTTTCCCCCAGGATTTTTAGCTGCAACACACTCATTTTGTCAGCACATGAGTGATTAAAAGGACTGGATTAGTGTCCTACCAAGTGCCAGCCTTTGGTTGTTACAAGAGGGACCAGAACAGCAGCACTTTGGAAGAACCATTTTCACTCAGGTCTTTGCCACATCTCAAACACATAATTGATATAACGTGTCAATTTGCATAATGGCACCAACCAGCTTTCCTGCAGCTGTGGGGTGACACAAATGATGTAACACTTTCTAAGTTATCATAAATCAGAGACTGGAAGGAAATGGAAGTGCCATGGAAATGGAAATAAGTATGAGCTGGCACTTGGATGCTGACAGGGACACAAGGATCAGAATGACCTTAGAGTCAGCAAGGCTCTCCTACCTCTGGACATTTATCTGAATCCCAGACTGGCCAGTGGTGAGGGATAGGTGCCCACAGCAGCACTGTTCCACACAGTGTGGGTTCAGCTGTGGAGCTTCTCATCACAGGATGCTGCACAGATTAAACTTGGCACAGGTCCAAGAAACAACTGGGCTGATGTGTGGCACAGAAAAACTACTGAGAGCACTTCGGTGCAAAGGCACCACTCGTGCTCCCAAGGCTGGCTGAGAAGGTCCCACCTGCTCCCACACCTGGGACCAGGTGCTGGGACCAGGCTCTGGTGTAACCAATGAAGGATGACCCAAAGAGCTGGAGCAGCAATACCAGCTTCCTTTCCCAAGCAGAAGGTGGGAGCCTCAGGCACCTTTCCCCTACCCAGAATCAAACCTATCCTCAGCCTGTTCTCTCAGAGTGATATTTTCATGTGGCCTTTGTGAGGGCAGGTGTCTGTGCTGTTTGTGCAGGTGAGCTGGGTCTGACACGCTGCATGTGAAGCAAACACACCTGTCCTAAATCAGCCTCCCTGTTCATCAAAGCCAGCCCTCAGAAGGGTGTGAACCAGCCTCCTGAGCATACTGGTGTAGGGAGGGTGTGAGTGGCAGTGGCACCAGGAGGCAGAGAATTAGTGAGGGACTTTTTTGGGTCAGGATCATTAGCAGATGCTTGCAGTGAAATTCCCAGTTTCAAATGGAGGCTGTGAGGAACTCATGGGCTGTTTCCACGTGCAGTGCCAGAGGCGTACATGACTTTTGGCTCTGCTCTGGACAAGTCATTTTATCCCACACTCACCCTGTCCCCCACTTTGACTTGCAGATCTTTGGGGGCCTTGTGTGGATCCTGGTGGCATCCTCGGAGGTTCCAGACCCCATGCTGCAAGGCTGGGTGATGTTTGTCTCCGTGTTCTGCTTCGTCATGTCCATCTTGCTCCTGTGCCTCTACCTCTGTGGGGCTCACGGCGGCGGCGGCTGCTGGGTCACCTTGGTACGTGCCTGTGGCAAAGCCTCCCCTGCCTGGCTGTGCCCTGCAGAGCGGGGTGCACTCCAAACTGCAGGCTGGGGATGGCTGTAAGGGCAGTGTGGCCCCCTTGGAGGTGACTGTGTGATCCTTGTTCCTCAGGATGTCATCTGCCAGGGGACAGCAGCGCTGTTCTACCTCAGCGCCGCTGTGCTGGAAGCCTACCTGACCTACGCCCTTGGAGTGCTGCTCCCGGGACAGAAGTACAGGGAGAACATTGCTGCTGTGGTGAGTGCCTGGCAGGAGGGCAAGGAACCGTGGCTCTGGAGTGGCCTCAAGTGCAAATCCTTATTTGCACCAACAGTTTGGGGAGGGGGGAGAGAAACCAGTCGCTGTCTCACCATTTATGGATGTCCCCAGGTCTGTGGCACATCACGAGGCGTGTGCTCTGTGCTGGAGAAAATTGACTGGCTGGTGTGTCTTTCCATCACAGGTATTTGCATTCGTGGCCACCCTGGTTTATGTGATCCACAAGGTGTTCTCGCTCCTGAGGTGGAAATCATCCTGAACAACCCCAGGAACAACGACTGCCATCTCCAGGCTGGGTTTGGGTTTTGTTTTTTAATGTATAGCCTATAAGCAAGCAGCTTTTTATGTGGGATCTTGGTGATGAAGACAAGGAGCCTGCCAGAGAAAGGAATATGGCACAATCTGTTTCCCTTCAATATCTTACAGGCTGGGAACAGTTTGATGCTGGGGCCAAAATAAAAAAAAAAAAAAAAAAAAGCCATCCAGTTTAAAAAACATAATATAGTTGGGTTCAAAGGGCTAAAATATCTTTGGACTACACCTTTATGTGTCCAGGGTTGTTACTGGTATCAGGGGAAAAGTGACCAACAAGCACTGAGGAGCACAAGTGTGAAACGGTGTCATTTTAATTGCTGCGTGCCATTTGCTGCTGAACAAATTAATATTTTCATGCAGTTTCTGAAAATGCCTTCTCTGACTTGCGATGAGCAGTGGGGACAATATTTAACTTGGCTCAGGAGCAACGTGGATCCTTGCAGCTCCTGAAGGGTGCTGCTGAATTCTGAGGCACGACCAGGAATTACCACTGCCTTTGATCCCCCTACGAAGCACAACCTGGAAGGGGCCCAGTAGGCTGTAGGAGAATTCTTTGGGTGATCAGAATCAAATCCTCAATAAGCAGAGGCAATCAACTCCTGCTTTTGGTGAATGGCTGCTCGCTCACACACTGCCATGGTGTCACTAATAAAGATGGGTTTGCTGTGATTTGGAGAACGGGTGAGTCCTTGCTGCTCTTTTTCCCTTTGCTGCACCCAGGCACAGCCCCAGGAGCTCTGCACCCTGACAGGGCAGTGCCACCACAGGGGTTGAGTGAGTGGCTATGTGGAACTCAGTTGCCAGCTGGGGTTAAACCATGACATTGAATTAATTAAAATGGGGTTTAGACCCAGGAAGGGATGTTTTCAACATGTTAGAGGTGCCTAAAGAACAGTGGTGCCAAATCATCTCTTCCAGCTTGTGGAGCAAAAAATGCTTCCATTTTAAGTCTGAAGTTCCTGGATAACAACAAGGACTAGAGCACAAGAGGGAAATAAAATTTGACTTAGAGGCTCCTCTGTTGCTCCATATCCAAGGAAACTTTTGACCTGTGACCATGGGTTTGGTTTGAAGCTTTTTAATTGCAAACTAAGGAAAACATTTGTGGGGTTTTTTTTCCTCGCTGCAACCAGCCTGACTTGTTTTGCTTGTATTGCTGTGACAACAGGGAACTGGTTGCAACAGAGGTGAAAAGAGAAATCCCTTTTCAGAGCAGGGAGGGAACTCAAAGCCACTTGGGACAATGGCACATGGCTCTGAAGTTCAACATCCACCTGTTGAAACTGGTTTCCCATCATCATGGGGTGTGTGTGGGGGTGCCCAGGTTCTATTAACGCCCCTGAAAGTGACATTGGAACACAAAGATGCCTTTCTGCTTGGATGTGTTTACAAAGGCAGGGATCTGCAGCCCCACCTTGGGCCTTGGAATGAGCTGTGTCTGTTCCTCCTGCACCCAGCTGTGCCCAGGCCCTGTGCACCCACCTGTCCCTTCACATCCCTGTGCCTTGTGGCCATCACAGTTACAGCCCATGGCTTGGCACGGCCCCACTCTCATTCCTTCTGCCTTGCTTTGCCCTTTGCTTTCCCCTTGCCTGCCATGCACCAGTTCACACCAGTCTGCACCGCTCCCCCTCCGTGTCCTTCTGTCCCCACCCTGCTTGTGTCCCCCACAGCATCAGCCCAGCCGTGCTGGAAGCCAGCACCGGGGAACGGCAGCCGGGCGCTGCTGGCATGGCCGTGCCCATCGGGGCAGGGCCGGGCAGATGGAAAGGACCCCCCACCAGAGGGTCAGGGATGAACTGACAGAAAACAGAGCTGGAACTTTGGTGCCCTGGCGGCGTGACCCCGAGTTAGGCAGCTGAGCAGGGTGAAGGAGTGTCCCTGCTCGGCACAGGGCCCCAGCAGGGGACAGTGACACAGGGACAGTGACACAGGGACAGTGACACAGGGAGGGGGTAGCTGCTGAATTGCAGCAATGTGCACCTTCCCTGCACAAGGTGAAGAAGAGGAAATGACACGAAAGAGGTTCATCATGCCCAGCTTTCCTGTCATCTCAACACAGCCCTGAAGACAGACATGTCCTGGAAGCTGGGCAGCCCACGGGAGCTGTGTAGAAAATGGCACACCCCCAGCGCTTCCTGAAGGGAAAGATGCTGCCTGGAGCTCAGAGAATCTCCCAGGACTTACAGCCCATGTGTGCAGCACATCTCTTTCCCACAGAGAGCCCCAAGGGCAGCACTGACCCGTGAATTTGCTGTCACTCTGCTGAAAACATTGGGCATGATGGACGCTGCAGGCTAGCAAGCCTTTTCCCTTGGGGATACTTCCATGGGGTCAGTGGCTGACTGGCAGGGCTCCCCAGGACGTGGGAAGGCTGGTCCCTGCACTTTGCTGAATGCAGACACCAGTCCCTGCCTGCAGAGCTGCTCCCAGCCTGGCCCAAAATGTGGGGCTGCTCCATCCCGTGCCCTGCATTTGCTCAGGAATTCCCAGATCCCCCCAGAGGGGTATCCTTCCATCACTGGGATTCCCTTGCAGATGTAACTGGGTGGAGCAGCCCATTTGAAAAGCCACAAATGAGGCTTTGTGTCAGAGCACCTACAAGTCCCCCTCACACTGCTGAAACACTGGGCCTGTTGTGCCCCTGCAGCCATCCCCAGCTCTCATCTGGTTGTGTGAGTGCAATTCTCATCTCTGCTCTTCTCCAGCTTCCTCAGCAGGACAAGGAGGGCTGCAGGCAGCTGCTCTAGAGAGCCAGGCAATTACATGCTAGTTAAACCAATCTATGCACTTGAAGGCAGGCAAAGCCTCAGCTCCTATTAAAAACAAGAATGCAGACATATTCATTAACTATGCCCAGATTGTAATCTTGGTTGCTCTTGCTTAACTAAGTGGTTTAACCACGACTTTAACTGTTCTCCAAATATTTGCATATTGGATACCTTGCCTCCAGCAATGCAATGAGTTAGGAGAACTTCCATCTCCTCCTGAATTGCAGGAGAAGAATTTGATTTTTAATAGAAAATTATGGCCAGCTCCATGGAAAATGCAGGAATTTCTCATTTTACAGCCAGCTCTGTCTGTGAGCAATGAGCAATCTGTGTCCTGGGTAAAACACCTACACAAGTCCCTCTGTTAATATGAACAAACCTGTGGGAACAGTAAAACCACAAAAGATTAATTTTATGTAGGGACCTAAGCTGAACAGCAGAGATGCCAGCTGAACATGAGCACACATTCCCCAACAGCAGCTTGACGTGCTGGTGACAGGGAACTTTGCAATCTGAACACTTGGCAATCCCTATTGAAGGTATATTTTGACTTAGCTGGCAAACAGGAAAAAAACCTTCATCCCACTGCTCAGCAGGCATGGCCTTGGAATTAGAATTTCCATTGCATGAGTGAGATAAAACTCAATTATATTCACCCTCCCTGTCTGTATATAAACAACTGCTGTCTTTAGAAACCTGAATTGAAATCAGTGTAACACATTGCTCCTAAATGTCTTTAACATCAGAATTCCAAATGTAAATTCCCAGGCTTGTCCTGAAGGATTTGTACAGTATTCTCTCCATACTAACAAAAGAGGTGGCCCAAGCATCTTTTGGCATTTGGGGAAATGCCATGACAGGCACTCACAGAGGGGGAGGCACAGAATTTAACCCCTGAGCCTCAGCAGTGAACAGAGGGTGCATGCATCACCTCCCACTACTGCTGCTCGCTTCAGCATCTCCTAGAACCAGCGTTCTGCAAAAAAACAAAAACAGAAAAATGGACCCAAACAAACCCACTCTGATGATTCTTTATTGCTTTCACAATCTTGTATTTTCAACAGTTTCCCAAGAACTTGTGAAAGGAACATGGGAGCTCTCGATTACAAACCATCTTCTGGAACGGAGTCAATGCAGGCTTGAAGCCGAAGACACGTTCACTGTTTCCATCTGAACATTCCCACTTGGACAGTGGTTAGGGAATTGTAGGAAAGCAAACAGTGCTCCTGGATGGCAGCAGTGACACAGATGGCACGAGACAGCTCTTGCTGCCCTCCCCTGAAACTCAAGCCCAGACACCCTGTCTTGAGCCAGGCTTTCCCAGCTGCACCTGAGCTGGAGCCACAGAGGGACCGAAGCTGTCAGCACGCCGCCCGTCTGACACTTGCCCAGGGAGATTTCAACATTCCCTGGGCTTCTTTCACCTCCCTCCACTCCAGCTTTGTGTTTGGAACCTCATCCTCAGGCTCAGGCTCCTCACGGACAGTCCCCTCGGGCAGGGCCACCACGATGGGCAGAGGGCCCTGCTCCTCCCGGAACTCCACCACGTAGAGGCTCTTCTTGTTTGCCAGCTGCTGGTGAGTCTCCTGGCAGCAGGACAGGGAAAAGGCAACCAAAACAATGATGCACAGTGTGGCTTTACTTCAGGCAAAAATCTACATGGGATGTGGGGCAGGGGAAAAAGATCCCAAAAAGTAATTTCCTAAGAAACAGTTTAAGCACTGTGTAAATGAAAGACTTGTCAGGCTTATCTTACTGGGCAAAAATTCAGATAGCCAGACCTCAGATACACTGATCAGCCCTACAGTGTCATCCCAGAGGAACCTGCTTCTGGAAAGATGTATCCTGCTCATAAACATGCCTGTTGGGATGTTAGTACTGTGCAGAACATTTTTGTTTTTATGTGGATATAAATTTTGCTGTGACAACAGAAAAGTGCCTGTTACTGCCCAGACAGTGGCATTAGCTAACATAAAGATATAAATGTAACATTATTTTCAACTACACCTCTCCCTTGCCTACAAGGTGTTTTGATAACACTCAGGTTTTACAGTGTTTACAGGTGACAGGAAATTTTTCCTACTCAGGGCAGTGAAGAAAACATATCAAGTGCATAATTCCAAAAGCAGTAATTTATACAGCAGGCCTTTCTTCTGTTCGTTCTCTGGAAGATTCTCAGAGACAATGACTGAAAATACAACACCAGGCTCCCTCAAGTCTGATTGCCCTGAGGTACTGCTAAGCTGTGAGGTCTGTGACACTCACCAGGCAAAGAGGATCACAAGCCCCTCACCTCCTGAGGCTGAACTGATGACATTGGCCAGGACAGGGTGACAGCCTTGACAGCTACAGCTCTGCAAGGCTGCACTGGGAATGGAAGCAGCCAAACCCTGGCAGCCACCAAAACTGCAAACAAATGGGATAACCAGGAATTTCCAGAGGGTTGACTCATCCTGAGGCTGGTGTGCAAAGGAAGTAGGATGAAATGGTGCATGTTGGAGCTTTTCCATCAATTCCAGGCAGCTGGCTCAGACAGACATCTCCACTGTGAGCACCTCCCTGACTGACTTCAGAGATCTCAATTACAAGAAGCAGTAGAAGCAGCTGGGGCTTCAGCCCTTGTGCAATGAGAACTTGGAACACAAAAAGCAGCAGCAACCAAACCTGGCCCACAATTCCCTCTGCCCAGGATTTTTCAACAGTCACCAAAACCACACCAAATGAAAGCCCAGGAATTCAGATGTCCCCTGCAGACACCTGGCTGTGGAACAGGCAGAGTTACAGCTATTCCTGACTGGACAACTCCATGAAACTGCTGAGGAATTACCCCCTTTGCTGATTTTGTTTGCTCTTTGTAAGATTACTTTATTTTAAACCTGGAATATAAATTGTTTTCCCACAAACCATTACAACATCCATCCCCTTCTGTCCCCAAACCCAATGGGCACCAGGAGTGCACCCACCTGTAAGGTCAAGCCTCTAAAGAGAGCTCTGGTGATGTTAATCAAGTTTTTGGATCCAGTGACCTTGGCATACATGTCCTTAATGCCAATTAGCCTGCAGATGGTGATAATGGCTCGGTGGCAATGCAGCCCATACCCTGGGGAATGAAAAAAAAAAACATAAATGAGCATTGTGTGATTATTTGTAAGCACACAACTTACTCAGAAGAGAGCACTGAGATCTTTTCTTCACTATTTTTGTTACCCAGCATGTTAGAACACATTAGATGTTAAAAATGACTCCAGGGGCTGTGCAGAGGCATCACTTCCCCTTTCCTGGCCCAGCAATGAATGATTATACTTTGTCATGATTTTAGTGGCACAGAGTGAAGGAGAAACAAACACATTTCAAAATCCACAAACACAACAGAGGTTTATGTGTCATCTGCATCCATCTCCATCACAGAGATGGAGATTATATCAGCTCCAATGCATAACTGTAGTACATTGGCATTAATTGCAAACAGTTTCTTAGACTTGCTAGGTTTCAGTGGAGAAGTTATTTTTTTGAGGAGTCTACTTTTACTCCAGAGAGGTTTGTTTCACATGGCTTAGCTCTAGTGATCTTTAAAAACTGAAGGACAGTCTTGCTGCTGCTGAGTAGAGGACACAAAAAGAAATACATCCTTGGGATCAAATGGCTGGAAAGCCACAGAAAAGGGCTAGAATGTTTATTCTAGTGAGGTTATCTGATTGGAGACCCTGTCAACTAGGAAACTGAGGGAGAAAGGGGAAACCAGAAACAAAATAAAACCCAAAGAGACATGGAAAAGTAAAAAACACTCCTCCTTAACTGATGAGCTATCAGGAAACTTCAGGTGCCACTTCCAGGAAGATCAAACTGACTTCACAACCACCAAGGCTGTAAAGGAAGGGAGACCTGGAGGTGTGGTGTGGGAATTTATAGCTCTATACAAACCCACCAGTGGGTGGAGCAGGACCAGGGCCCACACCTTGGTAATTTGGAACTGGAGGAATTACACTTAGGAAGGCTGATAGAGCTCCCACCAGTGCAAAAGGGACAAATCCCAAATTGCAAGAGCAAAGCCATGTCAGCAACAGTAGGTATTTGTAAAGAAAAATGACTGATCATTTTCAACATTTAAAACATGGTAGACTAGACACTACTTAAGCTCATCAAATAAATACCACTCAGTAATTGTTAAAACTTCAAAACTTAAACTTCTTTTATTACCTTTGTTTTGTTTCTTCATGCGGATTTTTGTCCTTTTAAATTTCACAGAAATGTCGTGGTAAACTGGAGAGGGGAAAAAAAAAAGGCATTACAGATAAATTCCTCCTTCTAGAAAAGCTTTAGCTAGTACCTTTTTTTTTTCTGAACTGTGAAGCTTGCTTTACTCTCCCCTGACTTCTTTAAAGCGGAGGATTAGTCTAGGTAAATTTCTGGAATAGATTATGAGTGTTGAAATACCTGTGAATACTATGCTACTATTGAAAAATAGGTAGGTGTGCCTCCAGTGAGCCTCATTTGGTTTTGAACTGAGCTCACATGATACAATTTAACTCGTATTTTTTTAGTAATCTAGCTTTTAACCTAAGATTTCCCCCAAGGCATCAGCATTCTTGGATTTTCCACACAGAGTACTAAAAAAAAAACACTACCAGGAAACATCAGGCTGACCCTCCAGTCCAGGTTTCCCCTGGCTGCTGGGTCAGCACACATGGACTGAGTCACAGGGAATCATCTCCTCTGACACAGAAAGGGGAAAAGCACAGGAGTTCACTGTAAAGAAAAATGCCCCGACAGTATCTGACTCCCTTAACTCAAACTGTGCCAGAAAAGATCTAATCTTGCTATTAAGAGCCTGAAATACTATGCATTAAGTATCCAAATTTTAAGCACAGAATCATGGAATTGTTTGGGTTGGAAAGGACCTTTTAAAGGTCATCTGGTCCAACCCCTCCACAATGAGCAGGGAAACCTTCAACTAGACCAGGCTGTCAAGAATTGTAATACAATGCATCACATCAGAAAAACTTTATTTAACATTTTTTTATACTTTGCAAATAGTTGCAAGCAGCTGGTATACTCAGTGCTCACACTGAAAGAATAATACTTACTTGTGTGGTTCTGATACAGCTCTACGAAGTGCAAGGAGCTTATTGCTTTATTCTTTGCCTAGGGAATAAAAGCAGAAAACATTTTTCTTCTTGAATTCTTCTGCTAAGCCATTTGCAGTTTACCCTTATTCAGTAATTAGATGTAAAAAAAGAAAAACAACTCAGGAAAACAGATTTGCCACATCTAAACTCTATGGAAATGAAAATATTTAGTCTGGAGGAGGCTCAGGGGAGACCTTACTGCTCCCTACAGACACCTGAAAGGAGACTGAAGTGAGGTGGGGGTCAGTCTCTTGTCCCAGGTAGAAAGTGATAGGATGAGAAGAAGAATTGCCTCCAGTTGTGCCAGTGAAGGTTTAGATGGGAAAAATGTCACCCCTGAAAGGGTTACCAGGCACTGGAACAGGCTGGCAGTGAAGTGGCTCAGCCACCATCCCCAGAGGTGTTGGAGAGATGTGCAGACAGGGCTCTGAGGGACATGGACTGGGGGTGGACTTGGCAGCAGCTGGACTGGATGATCTTAAAAGGCTTTTCTAACCTAAATCATTCAGTGGTTATCAAGAGAGACAAAGCAAACACATGGATTTACTTCTTTGCAAAGACTACAAATTATACTGATTATTAGGGGAAAAACCCGTAAGTGTAATTGTCATCAAGAAAAAAAATTCAACCAACATACTTTCCTTAAAGCATTCATCCTGTCACCTGCCTTCCCTATTGCAAAACCTGCAAGACAGAAAGAGGCATTTTATTGCTGAGAAACAGATGATGTAGATGACCTTTGGAAAGAAAAGTGGAAAAAAATAGAAAATTTCACAGCCATGTTTAGCATTTAAATTTCTGCTCCAGTGCACAGATGATACTCAGAAAGTGGTTCAGAGAAAATCACAAACAGTTTAGGAGTTATGAACACCTAACTTCTGGATGCCAACTGCTTGTCAAAGGGGAAAAAAAAAAAGGTTTACGCTGTTATTGTGTGTTTGACCGAACTTTGTTTCAAACAATTGAGTAGTGGTGTTCTTCAGACAAAAGAAACAGTCCACT